ACACACACACAGACACACACACAGACAGACACACACACACACAGACACGCACAGACACACACACAGACGCACAGAGACACACAGACTCTCTCTCTCCCTCTCTCTCTCTCTCACCTGATCAGAGCAGGAAAATCCTGAGTCTTGTGGGTAAAATTCTTCAACAAAGCCCGAGCCCGGGGACCAGGGCTGAGGTGGAGCCCTTCGCTGCCCCTGTGCTAGGATGGACTGAGATCGGCTAAGCAGTCTCTGATCTCATCTTCCAGTCAGAACTCCCCCCGCCCCAGCACAGGCCACAGCCCTCCCGCCTCCTCAGTCCATTTCCTGGCCAGTGTGGCGAGTGGGCCTCTGTGGCTGGCAAAAATGACCATTTCCATGCTAAGAAATCACGCCAGGGTCTAAGAAACAAAAGATGGTGTTATATAAGCTTCCCAAGCACAGAGTTAGGAAAAGAGCCAGGGTTGGGCGCTGGTGGCTCACGCCTATAATCCCAGCACCTCAGGAGGCTGAGATCTGAGGATCCTGGTTCAAAGCCAGCCTGGGCAGAAAAGTCTGTGAGATCTGATCTCCAGTGAACCACCAGAAAACCAGAAGTGGGGCCGTGGCTCAAGTGGTAGCCTTGAGCGCCAGCCTTGAGCACAGAGAGGCTCAGGGACAGCGCCCAGGCCCTGAGTTCAAGCCCCACAACCCTCAAAAACACGTAAGTTAGTTAAATTTTAAACATGTTAAAAATATTCTGAAGGTTGAAGGGGACATGGATCAGGGTGCACAGTGTTTGTAAACCACTTTGCTGAATGCAACAGCTCTGAACAACAACTTAAAGATAACAAAAGAATCCAAAATGAAAGAGTCACAGTATATAAAATATGGGTTTAATAAATGCGTAAAACTACGGAAGGAAACTCAGTCAGTCTCTTCGCCATCTTGTTCATAAGCCGCTAGAAGTTCTTTTTGGTTTGTTTTTGCTTTTTGTGTGTGTGCCAGTACGGGGACTTGAACTCAGGGCCTCTTGGCATTTTTTGCTCAAGGCTGGTGCTGAACCACTTGCGCCACAGCTCCACTCCCAGCTCTTTGCTGGAGATAAGAGTCTTATGAATTTCCTGCTCGGGCTGGCTTTGAACCTCGATCCTCAGATGACAGGCGAGAGCCACCGGTGCCCAGCTCAGTTTGAAACTTTTAAAACCCTGGTCTCCATCTACGTAAAGGAAGTGAATGAGATTTAACCTCGATTTTCAAGGCTGGTTTTGTGTGTAGTTCACAGATATGATTTTTTATGAGATATGACATAATGAATAATGGGACATAATGAATCTATTGTAAAGTTTTTAAGCAAAAACACCGATTGAATCTAAAAACAAGTTATTCTGAGGAGAATTACAGCAACTGTTTGGGACTGAGATGGAGTTTGGATAAAGATAAACACTATCCAACGTCGTTCATTGGCTTTGTTGTTTGTTTTAGTGAACATTACTCTTTGGGCACTTTCCTGAGGCTGAGTCTACACAGAAATAACCAGGCCAGACCAAGAGGGTTATTCCCACGGACTTTACATTTCTGCAGAAAGTAAGAGAAAATAGAAAAGTAAAGAATTAAGGAATTAAGAGGGTGGGCATGTTGAACGGGGTACCATGCTTTGTAAATGGCGCCCGGTGGTCAAGCTCCTTACAGACAGTAACATACAGAACACAAATGAAGAAGAATCACATCACCATCTGACTGGTCCTGTCCCCAGCTGCTTTCCAGTTAATCACCTTTTTTTTTTTTTAACACAATGGACACTGACACGTGTGTGTGCTTAACACGTTACTTTTCGCAGCTGCTTGGTTTTGCGGAGGAAATGAATGCCTGCCAGCTGCCCAGTGTTCAATCAGAAAAACCCGACTGACCCGGGCTGGGAGCTATTTTTACACCTGTGGCTGCAAAGTCGAAGGAGATGTTTGTCTCTAAACTTCAGAGCATTTGAGCACAGGGTGTGCAGCCGGGCGCCAGCTGCTCGCCAGGCCGAGACCTGAGGCTCGCGGGTCAAAGCCAGCCTGGGCAGCAAAGTCCGAGAGCCAGCAAAAAGCCGGATGTGGAGCTGTGGCCCAGCTGGTAGAGCCAACCAGCCTTGAGTGAAGAGCTCAGGGACAGCGCTCGGGCCCCGAGTTCAAGCCCCAGGACTGGCAAAAACAAAAAGTGTATATATGCATTTGTGTGTGTGTGTGTGTGTGATATGCCACATTCTCTCCATCCCGTCATCCATGGCAGTACATCTGGGCTGCGTCCGTATCTTGGCTTCTAGGATCCGATTTCTGTGACCCCTTTCCACTATGCAGAAAAACATTTCTGCGGCTTTGCCTACAAGCCGTCTGGGTTCAGGTGTTTAGGAGATAACCACGGCCACATTGGAACAATTCACAAAGTCCTCTTACTCTCAATCACAACTGATCGAGAGCCGGGCGCCGGTGGCGTGCTCTCAGGAGGCTGAGATTGGAGGATCACGGTTTGAGGCCAGCCAGTCGGGGAGACTCCAATAAATTAGAAAAAGAAGAGTGGCGCTGTGGCTCACGTGGCAGAGCACCAGCCGTGAGCACAAAGAGGCTCAGGGACAGCGCCCAGGCCCTGAGTGCAAGCCCCAGCA